GGGAAGACCTCCCGTAAAGGTAACTTCAGGGACACAGCTTTCTAGCCTGCCCAGCCTCACACAAGCGTAACTGCCTTGGTACCCATGAGGAAGGGGCTGGGGCTAGATGCGGGCCCTGGTGCCTCACCTGCCCTTCAGGATCCCGTGTGAGCTTCGTGCACTTTTTCCCCTTGCAGACCGACTGTCCCGACTTCCACTCAGAAAGGGTCATCAATGCGGCAGCAGGAGCCCAGGGGGGCACCGAGGTCAGCGTGGAGGTCATCTTTGAGCCCAGCCACCTGGGGGAGACCAAGGGCTCCCTGCTGCTGTCCTCGCTCACGGGCGGGGAGTACGTCATCCCTCTCTTTGGGATGGCGCTGCCCCCCAAGCCCCAGGGGCCCTTCTTGATTCGGGCCGGCTACAACATCATCATCCCCTTCAAGAACGTCTTCTACCAGACGGTGACCTTCTCCTTCATCGTGGAGAACCCGGCCTTCACCATCCGAGCCACTGACACCGTGCGGCCCAAGAAGATCAACAACATCACAGTCTTCTTCGAAGGGAACCCCTCTGGCAACAAGACGCCCGTCACCAGCAAGCTGATTGTGTCCTGCACTCCTGGGGAAGGCGGCGAGGCAATTAAGTGGGTGTACTATCTGAAGGGGATCACCCCGTAGCAGTAGCCAGGGTCAGCGGCCCCAGTGAGAAGCCACGTCCTCAGCCCTCCAGTCAACGGCATTGTTCTAGCCTGGCAAAATTGGACAATGGCGCCTCCTCGTTCAATCAGAGGAGACGCATCAAGAAAAGATAGATCCTGTACTAAAACACAGGCCCACACCCGACAGACCAGGACGCTGGCTCCCTGACAGCCCCTGAATTTAATTTCTGGACATTCCCCCCCGAAGCTCAGGAACACTGTCAAAATCACCATTTCCTAACAAAGCAGGTCACACCTGTGACCTTGCATCCGACAGCACTTGGCAGCTCATGATCTGGAGCACTGCTGGTTCTTTTGAAAACCCACTGCTTGACAGTCTTTAGACACGCCCCCATGCGTTAGAGTCGCATTCTGCTCTCACATAAAAGCCGAGCAAGTCACTCTTGTCAACATGATGGGCTTTGGAGCAGCCCGTGCTGGGAAGGGGCCAGGGACACTCCCCTGTGTGTCTGTCTTGACTTTTATATCATCCGTCTGAACCCCAAGTCTGCGTCTGCTGGTGGCCAGTTTCTGGCCTTGCACTAACCATAGCCCACCCCCCCACCTCCTGCCTCCCCCTCACCTGTGCTCAGCACTCAGCCTGCAGAGCAGGCGTGGTGGGGCAGAATCTCCTAGAACCAACCTGGTCCAGAACCACCTCCCACCTCACTCCCAGCAATGATTCACTTGGCCTTGAAGGTGTAAGCATCATATATTTTAATTTGTTTGAAAACATAGGCGGCAGCAGGGTGGAGGGTGAGGTGACAGACCCTCCTTCCCTCAGCCACTTGTACTGCAGCTGAGCTGACAGCTCCTTCCACAGAAAGGACCAGGCCCCGGTTTGATGGGCTTAAGCTGCAACTATCCTGTGGTGGTGTTCTAGAGCTGATGCGTGCATAAAAGGTGATGGTCTACATCAGTGCTTTCTCCAGCAAGGAAACTTCTCGGGGAAAGCACTAAAACTGCCCCCAACTCCACCTCTCTGGGGGAAGTGGGGCCATTCCCTCCGCCCAGAGACCTGCCTCCACAGCCTGCTCTTCCTTCGGTCCACATGTGTTGCCAGCACCACTTCCCTGCTGACCCCGCACAGGTATGCGCTGAAATAAAGACTGTTAAAGAGTGGCCCGGAGTGGGTTTGTTTCTGAGACACACGTCTGTGACTGAGGAGCCTCTTGTCTTTGCTCAGGAAAGACAAGGGAGGAGCTTTGGACTTAAAGGTGGGCAATGCTTTGGCCTCGGGTCTTTAGTAAGAATGTGGTTTCTTAGCAACTGAATCTAGAGTGTAATTTCAGGAGAAAAGCATCCCATCTGGTAAAAGCAGGTCTCTACTTTTTACAATGATGAAGCCCATTCCATTACGGCCCTTGGGAAATTCAGTTCACCTTTAAGAAAAAGTCAAAGCAAGAAGTAAGAAAGGAAAACAGATGGAGCATTATATTCAGTTATTAGATATGAGTCCATTGCAGACATCCAAATCATTCTGTCGATTTCATTTTTTCCCATAGTTTTGCATCAGCCATCACCAAAGTCCTAGCCCTAAACCTGGCAGAACAATTGGAAGAATCCTTGGCAATGCTACCTGTTATCCAGAAAAGAGGAGGAAACTATTAAGCAGTATGTTTTGTTAGGAGAGGAACCTGTATTAGGGACAGTTTTCAGATTATTGGTGGACCCCTCTGCGTTCATTGGATTCTGCTGGCAATGGTTTTAACCACTGTGGGAAAAATACCAGAAAAGGTAGGGGAAATTTTTTTTCCAGGATTTTTCTAGATATAATTCTTCGATGGCTTACTGGGTTTTACCAAAAAAAAAAAAAAAAAATCAAACCTGTGGCATAATGATTACGCTGTAGGCTGCGATCCAAATTATCAACAGTTGGAAACCAGCTCTTCCACGGGAGAGGCTTTCTACTCCCACAAAGAGTTGTAGTCTTTCATTGTGAATGAGGAGGAGTGTGGAGTGGAGACCCAAAGCCCATCTGTAGGGTGGAGGGGAGGAGACGAGCCAGTCAGGATGCAGTATAGCACCGATGAAACATACAACTTTCTTCTAGTTCTTTAATACTCCCCCCACCCCACTATCATGATCCCAATTCTACCTTACAAATCCGGCTAGTCCAGAGGACATACGGACACGGGTACAGATCAGAGCTGGAGACACAGGGAATCCAGGACAGAAAAACCCCTCAGAACCAATAATGAGAGCAGAGATACCAGGAAGGT